TTTGCAAAATACATCTGACATACCCAAAGAAGAAGCCTGAGTATATTATTCCATGTGCCATTAAACACTTCATTTAATTCAAAACTATGTGAAAATTACAAAATTAAACCTATAATTATGCTATTCAGGGCCATTCAACATCCATCTTGCCAACGACACTGACAAGACAGAGGAGGAATATGTTCTGTTCAAATAAAAACCAGTTTCTTAATTTTCACATCAAAGCTAATTCTCAGTGGTATATCATAAATATTTCTGAATTACCAGTTTACATTTCTTCCATAGATAATAAATTATCTATATTAAATTTGCACACAGAAGGAACAACCAAATGACAAACATCCATCCACTTTCACAAGAAGTACAATCTTTTCCAATTACCATCTCCAGTGATTGCTTGGATTCCAAAAAAGGTGCTTATCTATTTAACATATCCCTATTGATTCACATTAACTAAGCAGCAGTGAACTCCACACCAAAGCTATTCCCATATTCCGCTGATTACTTCTTGCTCTGTTTTACATTGTCAAGTCTGCACCATTTAGCTCCATGATGCTTTTCTCCAAGACTGGATATAAACTACTCCTCCCATCTCTTAATTCCTGAAAACTCAGCCAGCAATAGATTAATTATAATTTAAAAACGGATGAGCCAGCAAACAGCCAAGAAAATTAGGAATAAATTATAAAATGTCATCTTAAGTGAATAAAAAAGTAGTTATTGTTGGAGCTGTCGACCATATATAGCTGATATAACTGATATCAGAACCAATTGCTAAACTCCACATTGTCAAGGACCCATTGTTCCCCACAAAGCAATGTGGTCCAGGTCACCAGCCTTTTGTTGTCAAGTACAGGAGAAAATCCCTTCCTCCCTCAGTCAAAGTCCTGCTGCTTCCTCCATCTGAAGTCTGAATCACTGAGGGGGGGGAACATGCATTTTTCTCAGGTAAAATCAGAATCCTCTCTCCCCCCACCCCTGCCGCTTCGAATGCGTCTGATCTGTGTCTCAGACATAATCATTCCCTAGACTGCAGGGCAACTTCCACAAGTTGGTTTATTCATACTCACACAACATTTGCTGAAAACCTGCAATTTAATCCCACACTTTCCCCATGTTCCATTGTGATGTTTCTTCTCATGTCATATGGAAAGCCCAGGGTTGCATTCCCTTCTGACACTGTATGGATTCCCAACTTACTGTGAGCAAGCTCTTCTACAACTATACAAATCCTTTCCAAGAAATATAATGCTCAGCTAGTCTACATCCTCGATCGGGAGGAATTGACAATAAACAAACAAACAAACAAACAAACAACAAACAAACTTTTTCTCTAACTCTCAAAGGAAGTAGTTTTGACAATATATCTAATTTAAAATAAAAACAAAATGTCCTAATGTTTTGACCTACATTAAATTGTCTTGGCCCTTAATATGTAATAGAGATTGTATAAGTTAGGAGGGTTCTTCAGCAGCCCTCTGGAACAGAACTGTCTGATACATATTTTTAATTTTTTTCCAGGAAAAAAAAAAGCAATCAATACTGAATAACTGATTTAAGAGACACTCATGAAGCCAGAATGTACACACTGTAGAATATGTAGCCTCATAAAGCACTGAAAAGAAAAGAGCATTTGGTTTTGGTACTAAAGGGCAAGAGAATTGGGTTCGGTACTAAAGGGAAAGAGAAAATGACTGTTCTATCCATGGGCCTGAGGTCCTAAACAAATCTATACCCACACTCACTGGTTTCTTGACTAAAAGAATTGGAGTATCATAAGAACAATCCAAGGTGTGATGAGTCTGTTATCTATTAAGCTATATGGTTTAAAAGTACATTGTTTGGAATAATCAGAATCTTTATGGGTTTAACTCCAATAATTCTGCCAATATCAGTAGAGCTTTTATGAACAAGAACCAAGGAATTCCTTGAAATTTTTCTTTTTTGCATGGTTTAGAAACAAGGATACCAGTAAGTCAATATCCCAATTAGCATGGATCCCATTTTGAATAGGGACTCCTGAGGAATTTTAAGCAAGAGGTTCATCAGTGGATATTTAATATAGTAATTTTCGTTACACAGTTACATAGTAGATCCTTTCCCATTAAATTAGCCTTTGTATTGTCACAAAGGAGAAAGAATATTCTTTGGGTAAGGATTTAAATGATGAACAGAAAGATAAGGGATATTTTCATGACGGGAAATAATTTGTTGACACCAAGGAAGAAGGTGTGACCATGGAAAGGGATTCATGTTGAATGTGCCTACATCTGTTAGAATTCACAAGATTGTCCTTTCATATTTAGGGGAAAAATGCTCCTTGTCAATTTAAGATAAAATGGGAAAATGGGTGCTCCACTTGGAGGATCTTCATTTTTCATACATTTTTTTTCTTCAGCTTTTTGGATAATGCAAGATAGCTGCTTTTTCAATATTCTTTTAGTTTATAGTATCCAAGTGTCTTTAACAAGAGATTCCCCACTCTGGTGTTCAAAGGCTAGAGTAGAAACATCCAATTACTTTGCCTATAAGGCCCTCAATTTATTTTGTGTCTTGCTTTCCTTTTGTTCTGAGGTTTTCAAAATGTTCAGCCAGGGGTTAGAAATCTAGCAATGGAATATTTTCCATTCTGGTGTTTGCATGCCTATTAAATCCCCTGTTGTAGTATAAAGACCATTTATAAAAGGTAAGGGGAGAGTGGGTAATACCTTCTTATGGATATACTTTTGGCTGCTGTCTACTTGGTCTATCCCTTAAGTCTCCAATGGGTCCATCCTTTGTTTGCTTGAATAGGAGTCTTCCAACTATACTTGCTGACTTTCTTTGGGCAGAAGTTTTTTATTGAGATACAGACACGCCCATTCGTTTTGTTTGTGTCTGCTTTATCTCTACAACAGAGTTTAGTAGATCTAACAGAGACATATGATCCACAAAGCCTGAATTATTTACTATCTGACCCCTTACAGAAAAAGTTTACTTGACTTCTCAGTTATGGAGCTGAATTATAGACTAATCTAGTTTCACAGTAAAGACTTTAAGGATAGGCTTCCAAAAACCTTGTCTAACACCTACATTTTTTCTAAACTCTTCTGGTTTTCTACACAATGCAATGTGAGGTCTTTTGACAAATGATCAAGTTATTCCTATTCTTGCCTTTCCTATTTGATTATTTGGATCTGAAGCCGCCATTGATATAGAAACCAATAGATCTATAACTGGAATACCTAGTATTATATTCCTAGAACTATTCTAAATTTCTATCTTATATCGTTTTGGAAAGTCTTTCACAAGGGCTATTAGTTGAGACAAGGGTTTATAATACTTTCTGGGGGACTTTCCCTGTTCTGGTGGGGTTTTGCTTCAATAGATAATTGAGACTTGGGGTTATCTGGTCATCCAGGAGGGAACAGAGGCAGGTTAAAATGAAAATTAGGAGCAAAGAGAAATAAAGGAGCATAAGTTGGGGGGGAATAGAAATAGTAAGATAAAAGCTATAGGTTTTTAACATTTTTATTTGTTTGGGGCAATGAATCTCTTAAGAAATCAATTTTGGAATCTGCATTTTTTAAAAGTCTTCTTCATACCAAGGCAAATACAATGACAATTAGATATTTGACCACCTTTTTGGTCTAAAATGACCTTCAAATGGGAAAAATGTTAATATCAAAAATTCTTTAAAGTAGGCACTAGGAACATAAATTACCCTTGGTGAAATAATGATATATAGAATTAAGCACATACAAATGTAGACTATAAGATAAATGTATGATGTAAATGTATAATGTAAATATATGATGTAAATGCATATATAGATAGATAGATAGATATAGATATATATATATAGATATGGCACAAGTCTAGCCATAAGGTGTGCACACTTAGACTGAATCAAATCTCTGAGAATTTGGCAATAGTTGGCTCAAAGTTTTATTTATGACCTCATGTCTTGGGCTCCCAAACTAAGAGCTAGTTGTCTTAAATCCCAAATGCAACAGTCTGTGAATTTCAAGAGGTAGGAATTCTGCAGAAGACATCTCCCACAGAACCAGACTCCCACCAATTAACAAGAAAACTTTGAGGAATATTCTAATTCTGATATGGGATTCAAAGCAAAATGCTATAGTGATGCTGATCTGAGAAGATCTGAACACACTGGCCTTTGGAGCTGTGCCAAAGATAGATTTCTTATTGCCTCCACCCACCCTGCTTCCTATGAACTTGTTCTGATAGATTCACAAAAGATGGTGAGGAAAGACAAACATAAAAGTAGGGTTGTGAGCAACGAAGCAGGTTTCCACCAAGAATTAAAAAAAAAAATCAAATTGGTTAAGATAACCAAAGAATTTCTTAAAAAGTATCTTTTTTTCCTAAAAGTAAAAGTGAACTTTACATTAGAAGGGTTCAATAAAGATAAATCAGAGACCAGAGCCAATGCAAGATGCACTTCTTTGCTGTGACTGGGGAGATTCCTGAGTGGTAGGTGAAGAAACTTCAGAGAAGAATGGTGTTTCTGAAGTGAACATTTTAGGCAAAGAGGTTTTCATTAGATATCACTGGGCATTCAGACTATTAACTGTTGACATCCTGAGAAGGACCGCTTATCCCCATCCCCACAGAAAATTAAAAAAAAAAAAGAAAAGAAAAGAAACCTGTTAGTATTACTTATTGTAGTTAGTAATAGTATTATCAGTATAGTGTATGAAATCACTACCTTCACAGATTCTAAGTAGGGTCTTGGAAAAGGGAGTTCAAAATTGGGATACTCATAAAGTTTTCAGGATCTACTTTAAAGTGAGTCTTCCAAAGTAGAGGTCTGATTGGGATTGGGCAAATAAAAATATAATAGGTTAAAATGGGCAGCCAGAACAAGATGAGCATTTTGTAGTAGGATGAAGAATGAACAGTCATTTCTATAAGGTTAGATGGGCCCTTCCTCAGGTGAAGAAGAGGGGTTTAACCCACATGAAAGCTAGGGGGTAATCTAAAGTTCAGATAAAGAGGGTTTTAGGAAGTTCTTGAACCAAATAATAGGTATTTGTAAGTTTATTTTCTTGGACAAGAAAGTGATATCAAGGCTTACAGTTGAATAATACTTATATTAATTTGAATGGCCTTAGTTTGTAATACAATTATGCTGTGTGACCAAATATGAGCATTTTCTTTTTTTTTCAATGTTTATTTTATTTTTGAGACAGAGAGAGACAGAGTGCGAGTGGGGGAGGGACAGAGAGAGGGAGACACAGAATCCGAAGCAGGCTCCAGGCTCCCAGCCATCAACACAGAACCCGATGCAGGGCTCGAACTCACGAACCGTGAGATCATGACCTAAGCTGAAGTTGGACGCTCAACTGACTGAGCCAACCAGGCGCTCCATGAGGACGTTCTTATATATCACCTAGATATACATGATTTACTTAAGCAAATTCTTAGAAAATGTACCTGAAGGATAAAGACGTACCCAAACAACAAGGGTCGCTATAGCTAACGTGGAGATTGGCAACAAAGATGGTGGTCAGAAGGAAATTGTCTTATATTTTTATTTTTTGAAACTTGTATGTTGGTAATATTTATATTTTGATTGTGTAATTAAATATACAAAATATATTTTAAATTATATTATTCTGAGATATTATTCCTTTGCAGTGTCCTATAGGAAATTGTAATTCAACTATGTGTTGAGTAATTTTTTTTAATTAAATGATTTAGTGTTTCACAGAACTGATTTTCCCCATAAATAATTTAAAATTAATATCCAAACTTAATTGTCTAAAAGAAAAATAAAGCATATTAAAAATCCAGAAGCAACATAAATGCTGATGAATGGTAATTAGATTTACTGTAAACTTATTCAAAAGACAAATTTTCAGGTTTAAATATATGTGGGATATGAATTTGCTTTTTCTTGATTATTTAGGCAAATATCTGCATGTGAATTTTTTAATCTCTTTCAGTGACCCAAATAAACTTCAGAAGAATTTTGGGTTGTTTCCTACTATGTTATGTTAATAACATATGTATATATCTCTAACTATATGTCTGTTATTTGTAATAAATCTATGTATTTTTAAGCTGATATATTTTATTATATGAGTGTTTTGGTATTAATAAAGCTTCATATGTGTATTAGTTTGCTAAGGCTGCCATAACAAATCACCATAGACTAAATGGCTTAAACAACAAAAATTTATTCTAGGGGTTCTAGAGGATAGAAGTTCAAGACCAAGGTACTGGCAGGAGGGTTGGTTTCTCCTGAGGCCTCATTCCTTGGCATGCAGATGCTCCCCTTCACTCTGTATCTTTTTCTCTGTGTACACTAATCCCTGCTTGTGGGGAATAGGTTTAGGAATTCCCTGAGCTTGCACCAATGGGTTAACAAAGTTTAGGATGAAAGCATCCAAGATTAGGTAAACAGGGCCAAGCGCCCCCAACATAGTACAAAAGCAGAAAGCTGCTTTCACAGGAGGGAAGGTCCAGAATAGGTAAACAATTAAACAGGGCTATAGCCACAGCAGAGTGAAACTGCCCAGAGCAGATCTAATTAGCAAAAGAAAGGTGCCTTGTTGACCCTGAGGTAGCTTGCTGTATCTGTCTGATCCCCAGGGCAAGTTAAGATAAACATAAAGGTGCCTGGTGCCTGCTGTAAACAGCTATGTGCTCAGAGCTGGGATTTTGTTTTGTATTGACCCAAACCCCTAACACCGCATGACTTAGAAACCCCCTTTGTCTCACACACATGAGGTAATGTTCACTATTTCATTGTCTCTTTGTGCATATCCATCATGTCTGTAAACCGTCTGATCCTCATAAAAACAGAGCAAGGACCCTTACTCGGGGCTCTTTTCTCCTCCTGGACATTAGCCTCTCTCGCATTTCAATTCTGCATCTGCTTTCTTGCTGGACAAGAGAGAACTCCAGACTCAGAGTCTATAACACCTGCTGTCTCTCTATATCCTAATGTCTTCTAAGGACATTATTCAGATTGGGTTAGGACTCACCCTAATGGCCCTGTTTTAACTAAATGATTCTTTAAGGGTCTTATCTTTAAATACACATATATCGATGGTTAGACCTTCAATATACAAATTTGGGGGGAGGGGGGGACACAATTCAGTCCACAATAATATGCAGTTTTAAAAATATAGGTAAAATATTATTCACTATAGCATAATTACAAAATATAGAAAGCACATGAAGAAATACAATAATCTATAATCCAATACTTTAATATAGCTACTCTAAATCCAACACTGTAAAATAGCGTAGATGAGTTTGACATATTTAATGACTTATTCTATTGTATCTTGCAATTATGTAAATAATTCCCCCAAGTTAATTTTCAGGTAATTTATGTTTCACTATTATATATGTTATTTCAAACCCATATGTCTGTATATATATACAGTTTTTTGTCAACACTTGATATCATTTTTCTATTATCAATTTTCAACCGGGTAATCAACTTTTTTAGAAAGATTGTACAATTCATACTCATGTCAGCATTGCAGGTACGCCTATCTTACCGTATTGGGGTACTGACACTCTTGTAAGAAGCGAGAAAGTAAGAATGATACAATTCATATCAAGAATTAAAGGGAGAGAGAGGGGCGCCTGGGTGACTCAGTTGGTTTAGCATCCAACTTCAGCTCAGGTGATGATCTCGCGGTTGGTGAGTTCGAGCCCCGCATCAGGCTCTGTGCTGACTACTCAGAGCCTGGAGCCTGCTTCAATTCTGTGTCTCCCTCTCTCTCTGTCCCTCCCCCACTCATGCTGTATCTCACTCTCTCTCTAAAATAAATAAACATTAAAAAAAAAAAAGAACTAAAGGGATGCCTGGGTGGCTCAGTTGGTTGAGCAACCAACTCTTTATTTTGGCTCTGGTCATGATCTCATGGTCATGAGATCAAGTCCCACATCGAGCTCTGAGCTGGGCACAGAGCCTGCTTTGGATTCTCTCTCTCCTTCTCCCTCTGACCCTCCCCCACTCACTCGTGTGCATGCACACATACACACTCTCTCTACCTCTCTCTCTCTCAAAAAAAAAAAAAAAATAAAAATAATTGAAGAGGGATGGTTTTGTGGGGATCCCAAGGAAATTAATGAAAAGCTTAAAATAATCCTAAGGGTTGCAAAATAAGGCAACCCTTTTAGAATAATGAATCCCCTTTTAGCAGAGAAAACACACTGTCAGTCTCTTCATTGTCTGAACCCAATGATGTCCTTTGGATGGACTCACTTCACTGTGCTTTCAGCAGCTCCTTCAAATTACGCTGGTCTCTCAGCCCACATCACCAAACCTCCCTCGCTCCTTTCTAAAAATGTCTTTCTTTTACCTGCAGTATTTCCTGAATACTTTTTAGGTAGCAGACATGGTTTTGGTGTTGAACTTTCTATCTTCTTTTAATATAGATCTCAGCTTTGCCTTACTCTGCCATCTATGTGTCTTTATCTGGGTCTCAAATTCAGAGAGAGGATCTAAAGTATTCTGCCAGTTAACAACCAGCTATAATTTCTCTTATGGGGAGAATCCCCATCCCTGTTTACTTTATAATGACAAAATAGCTAAAGTGGCTACCTGTGGTGTAGGCACCTCCTTACTTTTCCTTCAAATCAACTCTAAGTTTAAGTAAAGTATCATAAAGCATGTTGCCCATTGCTGACATATTGAGGATTATTCCAAATGTATAGAAAGGTGTGAAGAACACTATGACAACCTCTCATAGATCCACCAACCAGACTTAACACATTTAATGATTTTTTTTGCTGTATTTACTTTAGATATATATTATTTAGTTTAACAAGAAAACAAAAACAGATAGAGTTCAATCCCTAACATTTTATTCCATTCCCTTCACTTCTTGAATACACTAAATGATATAAACACAGTGTAGATTCATATGGTTAAAAAAAAGGTACAAAAGAATGCCCACTATAGAAACCTACTAGCCGAAAACTGTTGGATCAGTCTTGTAGTTGAACTAAATTAGTGTCTGCGAAATAGGGGGAGCGATCTCACTAGACACTGTGTCTGCTTGCACCTTGAGCTTGGACCTCCCGCCCTCCAGAATGGTGAGAGATGAATGTTTGTTGTTGAAACCACCCAGTCCATGGTATTTGATTATAACAGCCTGGACTCACTAAGATAGTATGTGTATGTAATATAGTTTTAAAAATAATGATATCTGAATTTGGACTGACAAGACTAGAATTACAGTTTCAGCAGAAACAGAGTTTTTCCCTTTGTTTTTATTTTTCAAAATCAGGAAGGTCATAAAATGAATGGAACTTTTAGTCTCTCTTGATTTTAAAATAAAATATAGCACTGATATATTTGTCACTACACAATTAAATATTATTTCTATTCCAATGAGCCATAATTGTTTTGATTAAATTCTTTGTTCTTTTTGAAAAATATTTTTTCATACCCAATTTATCTCCAGTCAGAAGAGAATAAGCCAATATTTTTTCCTCATTTGAAATATGTAAAAGATTTGAAGAACTATATTTGATTTTGCATTCTAGCATAAATATTATTGCTTGAGCATCTGCATATAAAAGTAAACATTTCCCATAAGGACATCTTAATGTACCACCAATGGTGAATGTCTTGGGCAAAAGCCTAATGGCTTATTTTTCTTTGCTGAACCACTTCAAATAGTAAGTGAATAATTCTGCTGCTCTCTTGCAGTTAGGCAAAGTAATGCCATCTCTTATTTACGTGTAATATACATGCATTTGTAAAACACTACATACACTATGATCACACAAAATATCCACATTTAAGCATATAGTGATACTTCTAATATTTACATTAACCAGTAGAAATACAGTAAAGCCTTGGATTGTGAGTAATTTGTTCTGCAAGTGTTCTGCAAGACAAGCAAACATTTCTAATAAATTTTAACTTGATAAATGAGCGATGTCTTGCAGTATGAGTAGTTCGTGATGCCAAATGTCACATGATCACAACTGAGCCAACAATTCCTCTCTGTCTCTCTCCCTCTCTCTCTGTCTGCGGGATTGTGGGTGATCGTCTCCCATGCTTGGATGCTCAGTCTCAGGCCATGGTGTTGGGCAGAAATGAGTGATTTTTTAGAACATTGGAAGGTGCCCACAATTGGCCTAGTGTACTTTTTGTCACTTCCAAGCACCTATGGACAGTCCTTTGCTTTTCCATACAAGAGTAAGCTTAGTAATGTTTTGCTTCATTCTAGGTCAGTCTGTCTGCAGATATAGAATAAAAATAAATAAAACAGCAATTATACTTATATTCTATATTTTCAAAAAGTTTTATAGATAATGGAATATATATTAAAAAGATCTCAAACTTCTAGAGATAAAATGTGTCAAATGAGAAATACATGGAAAGAGTTTAACAGCAGATTAAATACTGCAACACAAAAGTTTAGTGAACTTGAAGATAAAGCAGTAGGAAATACACAAAATTAAACAGAAAAAGAAGGGGAAAAATCACACTAGTAAACCTTGGAGCAGCCTCAAGCTCCCTCATGCACCTGTCATTTTAATTTCCAAAGAAAAATGGAAGGATGGAGGGAGAAAAGGAAAATTTTGAAAAGAATGGCTAAAAATATTATAAAAGATTATACAAACACATATTGATGATGCTCAATAAAACTCAAGCCCAAGAAACATTTTAAATATAAATAAAATGACGGCAAGGCACATTATCATCAGTTTGTACAAAACCAGTAACAATGTGAAAATCTTTGTATTTATTTATTTTTTAAGGTTTATTTATTTGAGAGAGAGGGAGAAAGAGAGAGAGCACAAGTGGGGGGAGAGTCAGAGAAGAGAGAGAGAATCCCAAGAAGGCTCCACATTGTCAGTGCAGAGTCTGATGTAGGGCTCGAGATCTGTGAGATCATGACCTCAGCTGAAGTCAAACACTTAGCCAACTGAGCCACCAAGGTGCCCCTGAAAATCTTTTTAAAAACTAAGGAAAAATAAATATTCTGTAGAGAGAAACAAATATAAGAATGACAAGATTTTTTTGTAAAAATTAGCAAACTGATCTTAAGATATATTTGCAAAAGATATATAAGATATATCTTATATATAAAGATATATATATATATATCTTTGGCTTATGAAAAGCCAAAACTTTGAAATAAAACATATTTAAGATACAAACACTATAAGATTTCAAGTAATTAAGGTAGTGTGGTATCCTCATGAAGGTAGAAAACTAGATTAATGGAACAGAATAAAGATTCCTCAAATGAACCCACGTATATGAGAACAAGTGACATTTCCAACAATGGTGCAAAGAAAATTCAGTGAATACATAATAGTCTGTTCAACAAATGGTATTAGAACAATTAGCCACAGGGGGAAGATCGAACTTCAAACCTTAAACCTTATTAAAAAAATCAATTCAAAAAAATCATATACCTAAATTTAAAATCTTGTACTATGAAATTTGTAGAAGTAAAACAGAAAATCTCTGTGTTCTTGAGTTAAGCAAAAACTAATCAGATATAATACCAAAAATGATATCCATAAGAATTGATAAACAATTTATATTAAAATTAAAATCTTCCCCTTTTGAAAGATACGGTTAAGAGATTGAATACACAAGACAAAGATAATATTTGCAGATTATGTACCTGACAAAATATTTTTATCAGAATATATACAAAACTGTCAAAATTCATTAAGAAAACAAATAGCTCATTTAAAAACATAGGCAGGGGTGCCGGGGAGGCTCAGTCAGTTAAGCGTCCGACTTCGACTCAGGTCATGATCTCGCAGTTCGTGGGTTTGAGCCCCGCATTGGGCTCTGTGCTGACAGCTCAGAGCCTGGAGCCTGCTTCGGATTCTGTGTCTCCTTCTCTCTCTGTTCCTCCCCTGCTCACTCTCTGTCTCTCTCTCTCTCTCAAAATTAAAGATTAAAAAAAAAAATAGGCAAATATTTGAACAGTCACTTCACCAAAGAAGATGTACAGATAACAGATAAGAACATGAACAATGCTCAACATCATCATTTATGAAATAAAATTTAAAACCACAGTGAGATACTACTGCACATTTATTAGAATAACTGAAATTCAAAAGACTGACCATGCCAAGTGTTGATGATGATTACATGATGACCATGCCAAGTGTTGATGATGCTCATAACTACTGATGGAAATTTAAAAGGGTATTGGAAAAGACTTGGGCAAATTTTAAAAACATTAATTATACATATGATACAGCCATTCAACTTCCAGGTGTTTATTAAAGAGAAATGTATACATCTCTCAAATACTGCTCTAGAAATGGTCACAGTATCTTTGTTTATAATATACAATCCAGTGCCTTTGAATAGGTAACTGGCGCATGGATAAACAGAATGAGGTATGTCTATATAATACAGTACTCTGCAGCAGTTAAAATGTATTAACTGTTGATACCCAGACCACACAAATGCATATCAGAATAATTGTGTTGAATGAAAGAAGCTAGACAGAAATAGTTCATACCTACCTTATCATTACATTTCTATAAATATCTAGAAAAGTTAAACTAATTTATAATGTCAGAAAGCAGAAGAGTGGCTGTCTAAGAATGGCGGGATGACAGGAAGGAAGGACTACCAAAGGACAGAAGGAAACTTTTGACGGTGATTGATATATGTACTATCTTTGTTGTGCTGATGATTTCATAGCTGTATACATATGTCAAAACTTATAAAACTGTACACTTTAAATATGTGTGGCATATTATATATCAATTATATCCCAGTAAAGTTGTTTCTTTTTATTTTATTTTATTGTTTTTTTTTTTAACATTTATTTATTTTTAAGATAGAGAGCACCAGGGGGAAGGGGCAGAGAGAGAGGAGGACAGAAGATCCTAAGTGGGCTTTGTGCTGACAGTGGCGAGCCCAGTGAGGGGCTTAAATCCATGAACCATGAGATTATGACCTGAGTTGAAGTCAGAAGCTCAGCTGACTGAGCCACCCAGACACACGAGTGAAGTTCTTTTTTAAAAAGTTAGAGATAGGGCTTCCTGGGTGGCTCAGCTGGCTGTGTGTCCAACTCTTGATTTCAGCTCAGGTCATGATCTCACAGTTTGGAAGATCAAGTCCCACACTGGGCTCTGCACTGACAGTGTGGAGCCTGCTTGGGATCCTCTCTCTCCTTCTCTCTTTGCCCCTTCCCTGCTGTGCTCTCTCTCTCAAAATAAATAAATAAAAAATAATAAAATAAAATGATAAATTAAATTAAAAGTTTAAACTAAATTGAATTAAAGTTAGAGATAAATGAAGGTTGGATGATCCCCCCAACTTCCAGACTTAAATGAAAAGAGGTCACAGTCCAAATTCTATCATACCTTACAACATTTATTATCAAACAGACAAAAAAGAAATCACTTACCTTGTTCTGTAAGCTTAATGTGGGTACACTGGTCCTTCAATTTATTATTTTAACCACATTTTACAGGAAAACTTCATTTAAAAACAACAACAACAACAACAAAAACCCCAATATTTTTGAGACAGAATTTAGCTACTTTTATTACTATCAGATAACCAGCTAATCCAAATCTATGCCTAGACACTGGAAGATTCAGGGATTATGCCCAATAAAGTCTCACTGAACTAGAGCATTTAGGCTTACTAGATTCTTTGTTTCCTCATGCAGAAGAGGAAACCATCCCTAAAATAATTTATTCAAATCATCTATTTTGTTTAACACTAGTGTCAACAAACAAAACCCTATCTCTTATATCCATTATGTCAGCAAGTCTCTATTTACAGGCATGGAAACTGATTAATAAATTTCATTTAAATATTTAGCAATGTCACTGGTATTAACAATAAAAGAAACTTAAAGACTTACAGTAGCCACCACTGTTATACAGTCATTTTGACTTGAATGTTGCGGACATAGACCTAAAGTAGAAACGCCCAGTTAGAGTCACTTCTTACACACAGAGTAAAGCAAACTACATTCTACTGTCTAAATTATGGTATGTTAAAATACACTCAATACATTTCAGCAGAGAATTTGCTGCCAGTTACATAACAAATCACCTTATTCCAAAATTTCATTCACCAAATATATATTTAGTACTAATCATACGGTCCTGAGCTACCAACAACTAAAGCCTGAGAAAATATACCCTACAACTTTCCCCAAACTTCAATGATCATAAGAATCATCTAGAGTATTTGATAATATAATTTCCTCACCATTATAGTCAGCTTGAAAACATTTCTGGGGAATTTTAATTTTTAAAAACTTTTTTAAAGTAGGCTCCATGCTCAGCATGGGACTCAAACTCACAACCCTAAGGTCAAGAATCCTGTGTTCTACCAACAAAGTCAGCCACACGCTCCTCGTGAATTTTTATTTTTAACAAGTCTTTAGGTGATTTTTATTATTTTGAAAAGGTTTGGAAAACACTGCAGAAGTGTTTGATACCACAAGTTCCTCTTTGGTAGGAAAATTGTAATACTTATTTCTCATGAGAATAAAATCATAGGCTGGTTACTCACCATTAGTATTTTAATTTATTTTTTTCTCTTTTTTTTTACATGTAGTAAAAATAAAACATACAAAGATAATCACTTCTGTTTCCATGTGCATCATTTTCGTGCCGCACTCTACAATAACTCTCAAAGTTTAATTTTCTTTTACTACCAGTAGAACTTAGTGATGCATCACGTACATACAACACCCAGGGCTCATCACAAGTGCCCTCCTTAATGCCCATCACCCATCCAGCCCATCCCCCACCCACCTCCCCTCCAGCAATCTTCAGTTTGTTCTCTGCAGTTAAGAGTCTCCAATAGTTTGCTTCCCTCTCTTTTTTTTTTCCTTTTCCCTATGTTCACCTGTTTTGTTTCTTATATTTTACATATGAGTGAAATCATATGGTACTTGTCTTTCTCTGACTTATTTCGCTTAGCAGAACGTACTCTGGCTCCATCCATGTTGTTGCAAATGGCAAGATTATAAAGAATTTGGTTCTCTTAACTTCCATTCCACTTTTCTTCCAGTCTGGGATTTTAGAAAGATAAAAATTACCTTTCCCAAGTTCCCTTCTTCTTAATCTTTTGTACCAAAATTAGAGATTTTTTGGTTTTTCTATTTTTTTTCTATTTTTATTTTTTTAAGACATCCACGGAAGCAGTGAAATAAAAGCAGCCTTTCTAGTATTCTTTACTGCTATCAAGCAATTTGTGGGATGTGAGAATTTGTAAGAATTTGCAGTAGTGAGACTTAGAATTCCATATTCATGGGTGTTCAGTGGCAGTGGTGGTAAATACAGTGATTGAAAAAACAACTTTTCATCCAGGCATCTGAACAACCACGAATGAGTAGATTAAATTCTTAAACAGTTCTCATATCAAGAGGTGAGGTTTGCCATACTGAGAGGAAGCACAGGCTATGTGGAGACACAGAAACAGGTATCGGGACAGTGTCCAATTATTGCTTTGGTCATACCAGCAGAGGCCACAGATATTATGGAGCAGAGATGAGTCATATTTGTTGTTGCCTTTTCAACATTCCTGTCTCATGGGATCATGAACTATAATAATATAAATTATTGCTGTAAGCCACAAAGACTCGGGTGGTTTGTTACACAGTTTACCGGAACAAAAATTCGGTGCTGGAACTGATGTGACACTGTAACAACCTAAGTTGTATAGCATTAGTTTTGGGACTGAGTAGAGCTGGCCCACCCAGAAAGATCTTAAGGAAATTGTTACTAAAAGCGTGGAAACACTTTGAGAACACATCATGAGCTTGAAGAATACTGATGAAAATGTTAGTGGAGGCTTGATGAAAAGGCTTTTCTCGTGGCAAAACGTTTGGAGAAACCATTACTGGTAGTAATGTGGAAATTTGACAGCAAACCTAATGAACTCAAGGATCCGCATGGATATATTTCTTTTGTCTTTTCCTTTCTTCTTTCTTTCTTTCTTTCTTTCTTTCTTTCTTTCTTTCTTTCTTTCTTTTCTTCCTTCCCCCCCCACCCTTTTTTGGCCTGGGTATATTTCTAAGTAGAATATAGAAAAGCCAATTGGCTACTTCATGCTTCTGATGATAGAACACAAGATGATAGATATGAACTAAACACACACACACACACACACACACACACAAACAAAAAAACAAACAAAAAAACCCAAAACCAAAACCAAAACCAAAACCAAAAAACCTGTTCACTTTTGAAGAAAAATCTTGAGGAAATATTTCTGACTCAACTTATTGGTATCAAAACTAAAACTGTCTTATTCTTTATTTTCTCTACATTAAAAAAAAAAAGACTCAAAGGAAAAACGGATGGGGGTCCTTAGGACAAATATAAATTGTATAGTACTTCAAGATGTCAGTGAAAACTGCCAAGGGTATAACAGTAAGACACTCTGTTGATAACTTAGAAAGATTTAAGACAGTGCTTCATTGGAGTTTTCAGCTACACAAAAGGTATCCTAAGGGTTTTATGAGCATTCTTCATGGACCAAGACTTTCTGGGTACAAAAATAAAATGAGTTTTCATCCCAAGTCTTTTTTTAGCAGAACATGCTCAAAATTAGAGAGATCTTCAAGAAAAAGGTGAAACAGGAAAAGCTGTCAAAAGAAAAAAAAAGTCTCAGGCTAAAGATAAAGCTAAGGGTGTGACTGCAAATTAATTAGGAACTCATAGACAATGTGAAACAGACAAGATATCTTTTAAATAGTTTTTGAATGTGTTTCACAGGCATACTTTTAAAACAAAAGGGCTGCTGAGAAGCGAGGAATGCTGTCCCCAGCAGCCTCACAGAGGGCACGATGTAGAAAAGTATTTGTCTCAGAGATTTTGGTATAGCACATTCAGCTGCAGTGTAACTAGTAAGTTTCATTAGAAACCTCCAAGGATTTTAAGATAATTATACAGGTGTAGTCTTCCCCAATTTAGAATAAGCAATGAAATAGTACAATGAAAAGAAGACTTTGGATCTGCAAAATCTAATGGGCAGGAAGCAACTGAGAAAGGTACTCAATTGTAAACATAGACCATTTCTTATGAAAGAGGTAGGATGACCCAGAAGGGAACCAAAAGAAGACAGATGGCAGAGCTAGGAACAGATGATCATTCCCAGGGAGCAGGTTTGGCATTATTCAACTAATCAATGGTGACCAAGTGCTCTGATGGACTTCAGAACTTCCATGGTGATTGTCATGTGTATCCTCTTTTCTGCACTGTTGAATGGAATTGTCCATTGGAGTTGTCCTGGGCTTTCTCACTATAGTACATTGGAGGTATGTGTGAGAGTGGGGCAGAAAACTTTCCTAGGTGTTGGTCTTCAGATTGAGAACTGTAATTGAAAATGTGTAACCATGGAAATGCACCCAAGGAGCCTTATCTGCACTTGGTTTCGATAATGACATGCTAGAACTTGAGCCTATGCCAAATGCTATAATGAGATGAGATTTTGCATATGAGAATAATGTAAAGAATTTGTGGCCAGAGGGTAAATTCTGGTGGATAGGTGATTGCTGCTGTTTACTTAATGGTCCTTCTCTCAGAAGCTGGGGTTTGTGCACCATCCCTTTGAATCTAAGCTGTTCTATGATAACTTGATCAATAGTTCTTGATGAAGTAATGCTCTGCCTCTTCCAAACAAAGATTTCAAGAGAACAGTTTCCCACTTTTTGGCGCTCTGAGTTGCCATAAAAGATGTGTGATTAACCGGAAGACTTCATAGTAAGAGGAAGCTTAGCTACATAAAACATTAAGAGAGGGAGAAATCAAGAGAGAAAAAGATCCAGTCAGTCTCCAGAGTTTCAGCCTTTGATTGTTTGAGTCATCCTACCTGTCTCCATCATGAGACATCATGAAGTAGAAGCAAGCCATCTCATTCTGAACTCTCAACCCATAGCATTCTGAGATATAATAATCTGTTTTTCCTACTGCAATGGAAAAAATTCATTTGTTGAAATCCTAACTCTCATGGTGACAGTGTTAGGAGGTGGGGTCTTTGGGAGATGATTAGATGACAAGGGTGGAGCCCTCACGAATGGGATTAGTACCTTTATAAGAGGGAACCCCAAGAGCTGTCTTGCTGCCTTGCTGCCATGTAAGAATATAATCAGAAGACAGCAGTCTGCAATCTGGAAGACAGCTCTCACCAGAACCTAACCATACTGGCAACCGGATCTGAAACTTCACCCTCCATATCTGTGATTACCAATTTCTGTTGTTTATAACCCAGCTAGTCTGTGGTGCTTTGTTCCAGCTGCTCAAATTAAAACAGCCACTAGGTTTTGAGGTAGTTGCTACATATCAATAGATAACTTTGATTCTGATGCCCACTTCTAGTATAAGTACTGAATTCCTTTAATGTAATAAATTCTTTAATATTATAGTATTATTTTAGTTTTTTGTGCTGTATCCTGACTGAAACAGCTTCTCGAATCTTTTCTTACTAAAAATAAAACCCTTTCTAACTAACAGTGATTTCAAAGTCTATTCAGTAATGAGTGTTGTTTACGTTTACGTATTGGCTGAGTATCTCTAGAAAATCTATGGTATTGACTGAATTGTGTCCCCCTGCAAATTCATGTGTTTGAAGCCCTAATCCTCAGTATCTTAAAATGTGACTGTATTTGGAGATAAGGCCAGAGAGGTAATGCAAGTAGAGTGAGGTCATCTAGGAGGGGCCCAACTCCAAGATGACTGTTATCCTTGTACGAGTTGGAGACTGAGATACAAACGCACACAGAGGAAAAACCGTGTGAAGACGAAAGGAAAAGATGGCCATCTACAAGCCAAGGAAAGAGACCTCAGAATGACCTTGCCGATACCTTGATCTCAGACTTCTAGCTTCTAGAATTGTGAGAAAATAAATCTGTTGTTTAAGCTACCTTAAGAGATCTACCTTAGTAGGTCTTGTTATGGCAGCCTTAGTAGGCTAATACAATCTATTTCTCCACAAATGAGTAATGGGTATGAACTTTTGTACATTTCACACTGTTTATTTTACTACTTAGGCAAATCAAGTATAGCCCAGTACCCACGACTGGCAATCACTCCAATACCCATTATTTATTTGGATTCCAGTCTCTTCTTTGGAAGTTTATATCTATCTGTCTATCTATCTCTTTCTCTAATATGTATATATGTGTACATACTTGTGTGTGTGTGTGTGTGTGTGTGTGTGTGTGTGTGTGTGTGTAGGAAATCAGAAGAAGGCCCTTTTTATTTCTTGTCTGTTGTTGTTCTTGCTTTTGTTCTTTCTTTGCCCAGTCCGTTGGAAGGCAGAAAAGTCAACTTCTTCTCTTCTCAGGACATATTAACCAATGTTGATGTTTCAAAGCTTAGAATCAATAAGATACCTGAAGCTAATCTTCACAGGCACCAATAAAAAGTCATTCTCATGGTAGCTCTAGAGTGGACTCTATTTTCTGTGACCACACACCTGTCCTTATACTGTTTCTTAGATAGAACCTGAGGTGATGGTATTGTTAGGAGTGATGGTAATATATACATAAGAAAACAGACATGGGCCAAGAGACAGTCCTTGCTGGCTTCTGTGTTAAGGCACCAAGCCTCTGACTTCTGGTAAAATTGAAAATAGGGATACAAATTCACCTCCGACCATTTTTAGATATCTACAAAATCAAACAGATACATGATAATCTGTCAAAAGGAATCCCATTATAAAAACAAATAAATAAATTGAACTGTATTAGTCTGGTACACTTGTTTTCTTATTTCAAAGCCGAACCACTTCCCAGTTAATATCACCTCTCTGTTCTCCAGCCAT